AAAGCGATCAGTTTTATGGAAAAACTAAATCATCAGATATAAAAACAGAAGCGAGAGAGCATCTCATTTCGGCTGGGGTACTGTTGTTGCATGCGGAGGGTGCGTGCATTGGAATTAAAGTAAAATTGAAAGCATCTGTTTCTTGATATCTCTTGCCACCCTCTGCCAAAAATATAACGACTCAAGACAATGAACCGACGACGCAATGATACGTCACACAGGCTGGAGTAGCGGTGTGGGGTTTGTCTTGTTCACAAGATTCGTTCATTCCTGTTTTTACGCCATTATCGCTGAAAATATGCGCTCCGTATGCTCGAGATGATGATAATGATGATGCCGTTATTGCATTTGGATCCAACAGCATTTGGCTGCGTTCATTCGCTCGCTCGACGGGAGCAGGGAGGGATTAATGAAAAATTGATTTAAATGATTAAATATAAAACGAAGAACAACGATTTCGAAAACTTTCAACGATTAAAGAAAAATGACACACGGCACACATATTGCAAACACTGATAATAATGAAACATCTTGAGTTGATTAATGACAATGGGAAAATGGGAAAACACATAAATCGCTCGAAGCCCACGCCAAGATATGACACACATTTCGTATACATGGTTTTTGAGTGATGTCTTTTATTTATTAATGGAAAGTGTGTGCGACTTGGGAGGATTTCAATCGATTAAAAAAAAAAAAGAAGAGAAAAGGGTATTGCTCTTGAAAAAGTTGAAGCTAATTGGGGTCGCTTCAGGTTTTCAAATCGCCAGAACTTTGTTTCTCAACACCAAATTGTTCCATCATTGTACACAAATTTCGTTTCACATAAAAAATGTATACAATTTTAATCATGAAAGCAGCAGCAACAGCACAAAAAATGGTACTTCTGTTTGCTTGGTTTGCTATTGACAATCAAACTGGACATCATCTCTGTATCCCTCTTGTATTCACTTGTTCATTTTACAGACAATGGCAATTGTTTTTTTTTTATTTCATCCTTTCTTAAATAATTTCTCAAGTCGTTGGCTCAAATCCTTATTTTCGCATTTAAAATGATTCGCTTGAGTGCGAATGGTGACGTTATCCCATCAAAAAAGTAGCAGCAAAGACGGAGCAAGAAATGCGACAAGTACAAATGGAACTGGGTTCGTAATCGCAATCAAAAGCAGAGCATAGAAAATGGCAGGGCCGCTCACTTCACTCAGGCACAAAGACAACGAAGCATGAGCGAGAGAGGAATAAACTGGAACATTGCAAACAAATAATATAAAATGAGAATAAGTGACACAGAAGAGCGAAGATGTATTTTGCGTACGGCATGAAATAGCGACGAGAAAAAAAAAAAAATATGAATGAATGAACGAAGAAAAGCTGAACGTCCTTCGTCGTTGTTGTCAAATTGTGTGTCATGTGGAAGTCTTGTATAGTTGATGCAGCGCCACACTCGGCAGTTCATACATCATGCACAAATGTATTTCATTCTATCCTACGAATCATACCCATTTCAAGTGTTCTGACACTTTTTTCATCGTATTCGGTTGTGTGTGGTGCGCGCGTACACCATGAAAATGACTTTTTCTTACTCGTCTTCCTTTCGACAAAGTGAACGAATGGGAGAGTTACCGGTTTTAATCTGGAGAAAGTTCATGACTGTAATTTTCCAGTATTTTGATCTATTTAAAGATTTATTTTTAATGTAAAAAGGGATTATTGGTATTTTGAAATGATTTTTCCTGTAGCTTTTCATTCGCATTTGTTTTCGATGTCTGATGCTGCTGCTGCGTTCTTGCGATAAACATTTTTCCTCCTGCGATAAACTTGTTTACGTTCATTTTCCTTGATTCTTTCATTCGCCGGCTTAAAATCGTTCACTCTTCCTCTCCCTTTCTCTCTTTCAACATTTCAGCCGCTTTTTGCCTATGCATTGGACGTCGACGGCGTTGAGCCAGATCGGTCGATGATTGCATATCGCATGCGGATGCCTTTTCAGGCAGCATAAAAGGTTTTCATTTTTAATTTAACGCCACTCCAAACGAACGCATGATGAATGAAGACGACTGGCGATAAAATAACATTTTCCATCTTTCATTTATATAGGTGAGTCAGTGAAGGAGGAAGAAGAAGCGGTGACGGCATTGGTGGAGGATTACTTCATTCACTTTTTGACAAGATAATACTTTTCATTTGCATCGTACAAATTTTTCGATTGTTCTCCGTTCTCTCTTTTAGCTCGATTCTCTCAAATTGTGTTCATGACCCGTTTTTGTCCGTGTATTTTTTAGTTTTAACGATGATGACGACATCGGCAGCGACAGCTTTTGTTATTATTTTCCGGACTGTGAAATTGACAGTTCGCACGAAAGGCCATGATAACGACTTTTCAACTTTGCGCTATTATTATCAGCGGAAAAATGCAGCACAACACTCTGGTCCGCTTTTTTTTTTTTAATATTCATAAACCGAATTAATTTTGTATCAAAGCTGCATGCAAACGAGTTTTCGCAACAATTGAAATGAGAAAAAAAAAGTTGCAAAACGAAAAAAATGCAGTTGGAAACATTGCAATCGTAAAAATGAATTCGCATTACAATCACAATTACATTGAATTTTATATCAAAGCGAATCGTCCTGGCGAGAAAAAAAGTAACACACATTCGAATCTGAAATGACGAAAAGTTTTGCTCTTTGTACGAAATGCAAAAAGTTTATATGTATTCCGAACTCGGAACATCGACAATTTCATTCTTCATTTGCTGCTGGGTAACGTTTTTTTTTTCTTCTCGTCATCGTTGTTGCTGTTACTATTACAGTTACTGTAGCTGTTTTGTCGATCGTTTGAAGTTCATGTTGCTCTCTGGCTCTCGATTATCGAATGTTGCTGCTTTTGTCATGCACCAATGAGATGACATTTTCCAATGTGACAGCACCGTAAACCGTTCAATCGAGAACAGAAGTTGCAATTTATTTTTCAAGTTTTCGCCATAAAATGTGTTGTTCGTGTCGACTATTTCTTTCGTTCGTTCATTCGAACGATTCGATCGGCAATCGGTTGTTTTGTTGCCGACACGGTGCGTGCCTCCTGTGATAAAAATGTTCAACCTTATGTGAGATGTGTTCAGTGCACATCCTTGTGTACACGTATCGCATACGAACACGCTGGGCAACATTTGCTCATGAACATTCCGTTTCGACGGTTTTTTATTCGTCTTACAGTAGATGGCAAATGAGAAGAGGAAATAGTTTTTCTCGACACATTTTCTTTCTCTTCGCCTCGAAGAAAAATGTGTAACAAGACGAAATAGTGAGTGAGAGAGTGAGAGAGAGAAATTGCATGCGGCAAAAAAAATCACACGACAATTTTCCATCGATGGTGCAAACGAAGAGCCAGCTGCACCATAAAGTTGAGAAAATGTTATTTTCATCGAAAATGGATCAAGTAACCGTATTTTTATTGGTTTTTTTCTCTCTCGACTTCTTCTTTTGCGTCTTCAAATTGTCAGTGTCTCGTTTCCTTGTGGATTCGGTCGATGTTGAGCTCGGTGAGCCACACTCGGTGAGTGTGAGTGCCTGTGCATTCGCCTCGAAGGAATAGAAGTGTAAATCATTGCACTGAAATCAAAAAAATTGCTTTAGCTTTTCCCTCTCATTTCCGATGAGCAGAGAGCAGCGAGTGGAGATGGAAAAAGTGACAATTTTCCAATATTCTACGTTGCTTTTCCACATTGGCATTCATCAAAATATATATGGAAAAGTTTCGAAATGAAAACTTTGAGACAACCTCACAAACGATTCAATATATCGGCCAATTCGATCGCTTTTCACATTTTTATTTTGACATATGTTTGCTTTTAACACTTAGCCAACTTTTCCTGATGAATTGTACGCTAACGATACTCTCTCTCTCACTCACTCTGTTTCTTCTTCCACTTCCACTCGATCCAATCGACATCGAAATCGATTTATCATCGGAACACACGCGCACGCAAGCAAGCGACGGAATCAAATATAAACTTTTCCATACCATATTTGGGCCAACAGATAATGATGCAACTTTGATTTGATCTCATCTTTATTTCCTTCATCTCAATTTTTGTTTTTCTATCACCGTCCCACCTCACTTTGCAAGTAATCCAATTGCACTTGGCCACAAAACATAAAATGAAGGAAAACTCACCGACAGAAAAACCATATAGAAACTGTAAATATCATTTCATCAATCATAACTTTACAAGTGAAGTGCATTTGCGCCGGAAATAGATGAATCATGAGATGAATGAATTTGCTATAAATGGAAAATCGGTTTCCAGAAAAAGTGGAATCAAATATTTTCCTTCTATCTTTCGGATGAAATTCGAAATTGGGAATTGGTTCATCTTTGCTACAATTATCTGAAATAATCCTCTTCCGCATTTGAAATGGAAGACTAATGTTTAATTAAAAATATTTCATTGGAGCCACACAACTTCAATTAAAAATGTTGTGAATCATCATCCAGTCACTCCACATGCTCGTCGTTTTGTCCAATCTGTGAGTACTAAGTTTCCGTGAGTGATACGCAAGATGGCAGCACCTTAAATGGCGTTTTTATACACAAAGTAGATACTTGAGTGTAAATTATGTTGGTGGCGTATCAAAATGAAGGTTTAAAAAAATACATTGTCAATATAGAGCGTGTGGTGTGACTGTCATCATCATGACACATTTTTCACACGAGACGTTTTATTTCACAGATAATGGCAGTGATTGCCATTCAAGCTGAGATTCTAAGGATTATTAATAATTTTCGAGATGTTAACAATAGATTCGCATATTCCCTTATGTCATCATCTTCTCCTAAAATTCCTAACGCAAAGTAGTGTTTTTATGTAATGAATGATTTTTATCCTTTGAACGAACGTATCTTTTGGCGGTAAAAACTAAAACGCGAGCCTTTTACAATTGATTGGCATTGGCAAAGATAAAATGAGTAACAATCGAACATTTCACACAAAAGCATAGTCTGAACAACAATAATTGATTTGTTTTTATCAGAATGACGTAAATGTTTGATCAAACCATTTCGAACTTCCACATTTATTGATTTGTTTCGACTTCTTGATAATAAAAATGATGGCATTATTTCTATTCGAACTTTCTATTAACTTCGACGGGTTGTTACTTGCTAAAACTGGAGAAAAAAGAGACCACATGGATTAATACATGAATTTCGCATGAAATAGGCGATTTTCTTCAACTAACCGTTCTTTGATTTTGTACACCAAATAATTTACTGCCAATGGAAATGGTGTCATTACGCATATGGCTGTGTAAAAAACCCATACCACATACACGTATGGATGAATCATGGCATAGTAAAGCGCCGAACTCATAATTCCAGCAACATTGAATGCTCCAAGGGCAATAGTTATACGATCTTTATGATCCAGTTTGAAAACTGTTGCTATTAACCACGTTATAAGGTAGCCGAAAGTGGGAAGAACAAATCCAGCGAGAAGAATCTACGAAAAGCTCAAATTACAAACAAATTTACGAAATATTGAGATTGATCTTATTCAAATAACCTCAAGTTTAAGTGTAAGTGATAGTTGCCAAAAGAGTTCATGAGAATTGTAGATACCCATGCTAAGCGTGGCGATTAAATAGGTCACTGCAAAACTTTCTACTAAGTGCTTTATACATTGGACATCTGAACAGAAATTTTTTCCGATTAAAATGCCAAGTCCATAGGAAAAAACTAACAAAATCACTTCGAATGTTAGATAGCCGAGAGGAATTTCAGCTTGATTATTATTGAATATGTTTCTGCCTTGTGTAAGTATCCAAAGTGGTATCGAAACTGCAAATGAAATTAATTGAAAAAAAAAATGTTATTTGTAACTAAAAACCGACGCGTTCTCTGAAGATTTTTTCAATTCACCATAAGCTAGACCGGTGTTTATCACATTTATTGTAATGGCTAAATCAATGTTTCCATTTAAAAGAACCGTCCAACAGATCGAAGCAACACCCGTTGTGCTAATTGCAACCAATAACAGCCCGAATTTTGTTTCAGAATCATCGATAAATAATGCCCAACCAAGTGCATAGCCCAACTGAAAATATTGTTCAACATTTTTTTGGTAACATTTTAATTAAATTTTATTTTTCAAATCCAACTCACCAAAGGCAACAGCAGAAAATTACAAAATATTCCGATGCCAAGTCCAATTGGTTTGGTCAAAATGGTTTTTACATTGGTAAAATTCAATAAAATTCCCAAAGTAACAAAAAAAAATACGGAAAATATGAAATACCCAACTCCGCCGTAGAGTAAAAAATCCATTTCTGCAGGCATTTTGTCTGAAAATTTTAATCAGGCTTTGAACTGTATCACGTTTTGCAAGCAAATAAAAGTGCTCAGCATTGCAAAGCTATCGCAAAACTGATGCAGGCAATGATTGTTTTTTTTTCTCAAGCCGTGGAGTTCCAGTTTGACTCTTCAACCGAACGTATTGTTTTTGGCGATAATTAAACCATGTGAAATTGATTGACATCAACAAAAACTGACTGAATAAAAATAATATACACAAATTTTCGTTGAACAACACATGAACGCGCTGAAATTAAGGGAAACAACTGGGATTGAATTTAATGTACACCGACAACAAACACACACCAGATCTAAAGTTGTGATAACAATCAAGGCTTTATTTCGACATTCGAGCTATAAATGTTGATAAATGGAAGAAATTTAATTGAACATCAATATCTTATCTAGAAGTTTGCACGATAAGAATTATCACATCGATAGAGTATTAGTCAGTAATGGAATTAGCAAATTGTTTTCTGCAAAGATTTAGTCAATTGTTGTGAATTTACAACGATGAAAAAAGATCAAGAATTTCATTTAGAAATTTGGCTTTTACTTGATAAACGGTAATCTAATGGGATTTTTGTCAAGAATAAATGAGTGAGTAATACAGGTGGTGATGCAAATCGACAGGGATGTGAAGCAAATCGAAAAAGTCACCGTCATCATCGGAGAGTTCTACTTTTAATATCAAAGCAAACGCTATAGTTTTGTTTACAGCTTCAATTGCGATTACAGAGCAATCGGTTAATTTCAGTTTGAATAGCATTGTCACCATCCAAACTGATATATTCACAAACGATGTTAGTACTAGTACTAGCGAGTATCGACAGAACGTTTTGGTTGATCAAAATGTTTCATTAAAAAAGGAATTTTTCAATTAGAAATCATATGAAGAGAAAAATTTTAACTTCTTTCATTGTCACTCACCTCCCATGTAAACAATCTTTACCGAAAAAAATCCAAATCAGCTAGTATATGCGGAGCAATGAAGCGAACAATTGCAATCGGTGCTTAAATCCATTTTACGAGGAATGACGGAAATTTCTTTGGTGTCGGACAGAAATACTGAAGTGAAATACCGATGCTAAGTGGGAATGACAAAGTGATACAAAGTTGATATGAATTCCTCAAAAGAACTACCAAAATTATTCAAAATCGAACATTTTCTTGTCAATGAATAAGCAGACGGTTGTTAAAGCTAGAATTCAATAAATAGCATGTGGTTATTGATAGAAACATGTTTGGTGTTTTCATTTTTAAATCATTTTTTCCTTCTAATCTCGATTGATAGACTCGATATCAGACTCAAGAATCGATTGAGTTTATTTACCAATCGAAAGCAAACTTACCGCAACCTAGAAAAGCTTCTATCACCGTAATTGCGATTGATAAATTTACATTCCGTCTCAGAACAGCCGTTCAGCCGTCAGCCTCTATTTATTTGTTCAATTTATTCGCTATCTTTGATTTTTTTCATTTTTCAAACAGATAAATTAATAATTTTTATTGATTCGAATTGAGCGATAATAGATAATATTGTGGCTAATGAAAATGTATTTCTAAATTTAGCTGTGGATCATTTTGCGATGCGACTACAATAATAGTACTTGAGAAGAAAAGTAGGTGAATGTGCAATTTTTTTCTTGTAACAAAGTTCAATATATTAGCGTGCATGTTCACATGTCGTGAACGTTGTTGATTTACTAACAGCTATCGTTATGGTAGTCGACTTGTGACCAGACGATTCATGGAATGTTCGTAATTTTGCCAGCAGATAACGAAAATGAAAGAGTTGCTACCACTTCAAATCTTTTCCACAATTGTATATTGCGACGAAAACTCTTCATATTTGATTAGTTGCAGCTCCTTCTCCATTAGACGCCTTTGTCTTTGTTCGGCCTTTTCACTGAAAGTAAAAATAGAATCTATTTCAGTACCAAAATGATGATGTCATGGATCCAAAACTAATTCATTTTGGATTATTTTCTATTGATAAATAATTATTTTGCAAAATCTAACCCAATCTTCTCCCACAGCATATGAGCCACCAACACAACAGCAGTCATAATAACGACGGAAGTTGGGAAAATATCAGCATCGGTATTATTTGTTTCCTGTATTGTTTTCACTATAAACATGGCCAAACAGATATTTTTATTGAGCGCCTCAAGAACGATAGCCGCGCAGTCTTCATTCTTTAGTCTTAATGCAAGCGTCCAAAGCCAACCGGTGCCATACACCACAAGTACCAAAATTAAACCGGGTAAAAGTTCCTAAAATAGAATTTTTTTTAAATACGTTTTCATTTGATTTTTTTCGCTGATTTACGAAAAGCAAACTTTTCACGTCTGATTCCAAAACAAAATTTAATTTAGAAAGCTTTACCACCCATTTGAAGAGTCCATACATATACAAATCAAGGTCGAATTGCAGGTAGAAGAAATGGATATTGAGAATTGCCAGTGGTGATAATCGCTTGAGAATAGCCATGGAAAACATTGACGATCGTGGATACAAGTTTTGAATCATCATTCCGACAGCGAGCGGTATGGCAAAATGGTATAAATTATCTTTGAACAAATTATAGGGCAACATGTTCTCGGGATGGTCAATATCGTACATTACTTTAATTAAGTAGATATACAGTGTTGTTAAGCCTGAAACAATAAAGCAGAACATCAATTTTGATCAGAATTTAATTCCTTTCAATTGAAAACTATCATTTCTGTTTGTGCTAAAAACATTGTGTTTTTACCAAAACTCAAACAAAGCGATATGAAGCTTATCATTATCGATAGATCGATGTTTCCGCCTAAAACGACCGTCCAGTGATTCGATGCATGAGTCACACTCATTGCTGCTAGTCCAATGCCGAACAAAAATAGTTGATTCTCGACATTTGGTAGATAGATCAAGCCGAGTATGAAACTTGTCTTTGTTTTGAAATGAACAGTTCAATTAGAAACATTTAAATTGAGATTTGCTCAAGGATTTTCAAATGGAAAAATCGTGTTTGTTTAGAAATGCTCACCAAAGGTAAAATTACAAAGTTCGAAATAAGTGCTAAGCTCGGTCCAATTGGATTCCTTAAAATCGCCGTGAGTTTTTTCACATTCAAAGCCGCCCCGAAGCAGATATTCATCAAAATGTAGAAATATTGCATTAATTTGAGGTAAAATAAGACATTTTGGGCTTTAAACTTCTTGATCATGTGATTGCGTGTAACTGAAACTGCCATATGGTTGTCTAGTATATCTTTTTTGCCTTTCCTAGTGATTTCTACCGTAATATTGGCATTTCCAAGACCGAGTGGGTGAATATCAACCTGAAATTCTTTCCACACTTCTCCGGCTTCACCCAACGGAATCGTCTTATACACTTGCACTACATCGGGATTGCTGCTCACCAAACGTAGCGTCGCATTTGATGGTCCCGTTTTCAAAAATTTAAGAAGCAACACAAATTCATCTGGTTCGCCCAACATCACAATCATGAATTCTCGATCAAATTTCGCTTGCCATTCGACTTCATTTTCAGCACTTGTGAATTGACTTGATATCACCAGGAAAATCACCACAGAATAAATTAGATTTTTTGAAGCCATTTTTGGCTCTGCTTTTCTTCACAATTTACACTAAATATTAACGAAATAACAAATTTAGATTTCAACTACTCAAAATGCTTCGAAGCGGATTTCTGTTCAGTTGCTCAATTGACGCACTCATTTCTACTGAAATAATTTTCGAGACATGTGAAAATATAGCCATAAATGTGCACACTCCAGTGGCTATCTTTAATTACTTGGAATTATGTTATCAGACGAAAACAAATAAATATTATCAAGATAGGCAATGCCGCTAATCAATTGAACTGCGCATTTGTGTTGGAAAGTCCGATGTTTTATTTAATTTCCAAGTATAAAAATGACACCACGAGATGATTCAGAACCTGAGATGACGCAGCGACACAATGTGCCCAGCGGCATCCTTATACACTCAGTCCTATCAAGTGATGCGCAGCATCGAATTGTGTGTATATCACAAAGACTCGGGCGATGCGTCGCTGCGTCATCTCACCCAGCTGAATTATCTCGTTCAGTTATCCTATGAGATACTGTGAGCGACATCGCAATCACTGAATCAAAGTACAATAAAATTCAATCATATCATTGGATCGATTATAATTGAAATCAAAATTGTGATTTGGGTGCTCGTTGAATATTTTCGATCGTCCGATTGATTAATAGCCATAGTTATAGTGTTGAGTTAGGATTCTTAAATTGCCAGCGCCATTGGTTATAACGTGTATGGATCAACAATACATTCAAATTTACACTCACACGCTGTGGATTTTCCTTTTAGAGTGCGTTCACTACCTGCAAAAGAAACTAAAGCGAATTGAACGAAAAACACTTATCAATAAATCATTTATTGTTAGTGTACCGCTGACTGCCGCATAGTTCAGCACACATCAATATATAAAGAATTGATTTCCATGCAGCATTATATAGTATGGACCGCATTGTGTTCAGCTGAAGCACTAATGAAGCACACATTTGTGTGCTGAACCCTACAAGAATTTTGCGATACATTGAGGTTTACGTCGACATGTCGCCGTAAAGCAAAACCTTCCCGCGGCATTCCGCATTGCGATAGGTTTTTCAATGTACAGTTTTATGCAAAATCATAACGCCGACATATCTGCGACATATCGCATTGCGTAAACCTGTAAATTCGAATTGTATCCAACTTCATTACATTGAAAACATAATTTCAAATGGTTTTATTTAAACTTTTCATGTTGCTCATCGTTGCTAATAACTTATTCAAAATAATTATCAAGTAGAATAATTAGCCATTGCAGCCCTTAAAAATACAACATGCTGAATTCGAATGAAGTTGATCGCAGTTCATGCATTTTTTGACAACTATTGCGGAAGGTTGGCGATACGTTTGCGTAAACGTTGTCGCAAAATTCTTTTAAGTTGAAGTACTAATTGCGTATAGCTGCGGTTGATACAAGACATTAAGCAAATCAAATCATGAAAAACCGTTTGTTTGCTACAAGCAAATGTATTAGAATATCAAATTGTACATTTACGTATTAAGAATTTATAAATTCCTTCTAAAAATCATAACTTCTTCACAGCAAGTTTATTGTAAACAAAATGAATCAATACTGGAATTGGTGACAGTATGATAGCTGAGATTGGAAATAGTACAGCCAGTTCTCTTTGCGGCTGGGCAATGAAATTGAAGAGAGTAATGGCGATGACGGAATGTATATTAATTGCGCTAAGAGCAACCATTAGACTGTCCTCTTCTTGAAGCTTGAATGCGCGTGAAAGGAACCAACCCACCAAATATCCCAAACTCGGCAGACAAAGTCCAGCTAAAACAAACTAAAACACAATTTTGTATTTGATTTCGGTTAAATTGGGTTGGATTTTCTGTTTTTACCTTCCATGAATCGGAAAATGGCATCGAAAAAACATGGGCACCTCTCATGATCGACACAATGATGATGAAGATCATAAATGGGAACGTGATTCCCAGCAGAATTGGCTTCGATATCTCCGAAGCACGTGGAAAAATGTATTGGATGAATATACCAACGAGAAGCGGAATGAAGGAGAAACAGATGTATTGTGTAATCAAGTTATACGGAACTCCGAAATTTTCGCTATCAACTATTGATGTACCAAGCTTAAATAGCCAAAACGGTGTTGTACCTGTGTTTTCAATAACAGAAAGTAGAAGGTAAATATAGAAAATAAAAGCAAATTTTCGACTCACCATAAGCCAAAATAGTGTTCAATACATTCACTATAATTGATAATTCAACGTTTCCGGTTAAAATCACTGACCAAAGGCTGGACGATACACCCATCGAACTGATCCTATTTTTTTCATATTAAAATGGTATTTTTTTACTTTATTAAAGGGAAATGATGTAATGCGCACTGCATGGAACTACAGGAAAATGAATCACCCCGCTCACCCAGTTGCAAAGAGACCAAATCGTATTTCAACATTATCCGGAAATAATAACAAACCGAGGACACAGCTTAACTTTGAATTGACGAGAAATAAATGAATTAATCAGTCAACTTGTAATTAAATCTCACCGATACACATTAAATTTTTCGACGTCCGCATTCATTTTCATTTTCTTACCAGCGGTAAAAATACAAAGTTGCAAAAGAATCCAAGGCTTGGTCCGATCGGATTTTTTAGAACCATTTTAATTTTCTGCCAATCCAGAATGGCACCGAAATTCACATAGAGAGCAACATAAAATGCTGTGACTCCCTTGGAAGTTAAGAGCGTAAAGTCAATATTAATGGCTGACATTGTCTTATTCTTTAATGAAATTATTTACTTTTAAAAAGAAAACTGATATCAATACATATTGTTTCACCAGAATCACTGTACTGAAACTGATTTCATCACGTTTGCTAAACAGCGGGGCCGATTTTTTTGCAACTTAAGACAACTTATCGCATGAACATTGCGATATGTGTGATGGATTGGCATCAGTAGAACGAACGATAGCGTGAAACAGCAACAATTTCATTTCGACATTATTGATTTCAACGAATAAACCTTGAGGAACACCCAAATTGGAACAAAATTGATAATAATCTGAAAAATTGTGCGTCACGGTAGCAAAATGAGTTGATTTCAGGAAATTATGATTGTTTCATTTTTTTTTTCCAAAGATAAGTGTTTCATTTGGACGCGTTCCATTGTTAAAAGATGATTCTGGTGATAATTCAAACAAACAAACAGTAGCCGCTACATAGATAGCCAATCGAATGCTCTGAAACCAAAAACTGTTATCGCATAATTCAAATCTAACTCTTCAAAGACTTCCATTTTCCTTCTTGTTAGATTATGTAATCTATAACGGCGGAATGCATTAATTATTATTCTGTTTTGTTTCATCTATGTACATTGAGGGAAAAATTATCAGAAAAAAAAACATGATAAGATTTTAAGCATTTATTTTTCTTAATTAATCATATCCTAAGCTGAATATGTTTCTTCTAGCCTTTGGAAAGGTACCGCTGTATCGATTCTTGCCCTGAAAATGTAGAAGGATTTCGATTCATTCAGGAGTTTAAAAAAGTTATCGGTTCTAATTTGTTTTTGGTTGGTATTGAATTCACAAACCTGCACTTGTTCCACAGAAAATTAGTCATCAACATTAGAAATGTCATGAGAACAGTTGCACTTGGAAAAAGACATGCAAAATCGCATTGTTCTTGGCTGAGTAAACGAATAACAAAAACGGCCAAGCACGCATTCTTATTGGCCGCTTCAACAGCAATCGATATACAGTTTTCGTGACTTTGATTCAACGATAGTAAAAGAATCCATGTGATCGAGTATATTGCGACCGATAAAATGAATGCAATCAACATTGACTGGAAATCAATTAAATATAATTTGAAATAATGGCAATGACCACGAAATGCATAATTCAATCATTTTCAAACTTGGAATTGTTACATTGTTACAATTCTAAGCTTAAGACTTTTCAAATAGCCCACCTTCCATGTGAACAATCCATAAACAAACAAATCCAAATCAAGCTCTAACCATTTAATGAGAGCCATAAAAACAGCAACCGGTGCCAACCATTTAAGAAATTCCATGGAAAAATCGATCGCACGTGGAAAGATTTTATAAATGACTAATTTTATAGTAATGCCGATGCAAATTGGAATGCAGAAGAAGTACAAATTCCGTTCGTACTCAACAAATGGATGGTAAACGTTTTTATGGAGCAATGTGGCGACAATGTACAACCATAAAGATGTCAAAGCTGGAAAAAAAAAACAATAAAAATCTTAAAATTTGAAAAATTTAGTCTTTGACAAGCGTGCAAAATGATTACCATAGCCAAAAATATTGGCTACTGAGGTTATCGCTATAGATAGATCAATATTTCCGCCCAGAATTACAGCCCATGGATTCGAAGCCATTACTGCGCCAATCATGTTGAATGCAACGGCCGACAATTTGATTCCCTTGTCATTTTCAGCTTCCATCGATTGGACTAGAGCAAACACAAGACTTGGCTTTGAAAGAATATTATTTTCAAAGGTTTTCCTCGAAATATTCCACATTCACTCACCAAAAGCATAATAACCACATTAATGAAGAACGCATCGAATAATCCCGCTGGTTTTTGGGCAATAGTGTACAAATTTCTCCAGTCCAAAACCATTCCGATGGTAATGTAAAATATGATACTAATGATGCAATCGGTGTATTGGAAAATCCTGGAGCTAAATGGCATAATTCGATTGCGGTGAACATTGATCGTCATGCATTCAATCGATATTTCCGTTTGTGCGTCCCAATCGACTTTAACCGATATATTTACACTACCAACACCAATTGGAATGGCGATGAAAGAGCCTCTCCATATGCCTCCATTGTAATCATACACAAAACCTGCATTCGACACTCGAACAATTTTCGCATCACTACTAACCACGTGCACTGAGTCATGATAATTGATTAGGCGGAGATTCCTAATGATCAAATTGACTTCTTTCGGTTCATTTACACGCAAATCATATTGATTTACTTCGAACTCAACTTGCCAATCGAGAGATCTATTTGCTTTTATTAATGGAGATGAAAATAATAAAACAAATCCCACAACACAAAGTAAAGTCGTCGACATTTTCAAAAATGCCTTTTTCAAGAAGTTTTCACAAACTAACAACGCAGTGACCAGGATGGTTCGGCACAATTTATTGAAATATTATATTTGAAGTAATATGTCGTACAAAAATCATATTAAATAAAAACTCACACACTTGTGAGGATGAAAAATAATCAGATATGGCATTTTCGTGTATTCAGATTGAAATTGTGAGTATAAATTGATAAACACACATACACAATGATCAATTGTTTTCAGTAATTGCTATTCCATTAATGCAATTGTATAGCGATAACCAATTCTTGAAAACAATTGATTAATTTCTTCTTTGTGATTATTTTCATTAGACTGCTGGTTTGAAACACACTTTTGGATAAGATAACTACTGGCTATGTTTAGTGTTTGCGTTTGATAAACGCCGTTTATTTTGTGTGCTGAAAAAGAAGAGATTCTTCAAACAAACATTCACACAGATATCACACATGAAATTTCAATCTAATGAACAGATAATCAAGTACTACGGACCACGGCAACTGATTGGCACAATCCCAAATTATATTTATTATATGCTTAAATAACCTCGTGCAGCTTGGCGTCATTTCCTCCACTTCCATATGTTTGCAATGATGTTTGAACTTTGACAAGCAAGTTTCTACAATGGAAATTAAATGCGAGTGGGAGACGCCACAAAAATGACTCCAAAATCGTCGATTATTGATCAAACTACTTTGGAGGTATAGATTCTGGTTCATTCTGTGGAATTGGCTGAGGTGAATGCTTGTTCGTCAACCTAAAAAAAAGAATTGAAAATTAAATCTTCCCGAAATGTTTGAATGAAAGAGATTAAAAATACTGACCGCCTGACAACAAGATGAATGAGCTGTTGTACAATAATCGGAATAGGTATCATTATGATGACTAAACTGGACAGAAATAAATGCGACTCCGTATGCGGGAAGTAAACTGTAATATGCATTATTGAATTGACGATGGTGATATTTTTTGTAAGAGCCGCAGTTGCAAGCTCTAATTGATCTTTATATTCATCGCGGATAATCAGCGCCACTATCCAACCGAATGAGTATGCGATAACAGGCAGAAAGAAACCACCCAAGAAATACTGTAATTGAAATCAAATTAATCGAGTTTTCACTCAATATTTCAATTTTCATTCATTTGCAACTTACTTTCCACGTAAACATAAATATTTCTGAGGTGAACATATTCCAATATTCCACAATCATCAAAACGATGTAGGAAATCACATAAAAATCGATGATCAATGTCATGCTTCGCATCGCGAATTTGGTGGAACGTGGACAGAAATACTGAATTAGCACACCAATGCAGAGCGGAATGATTAAATAGATAATGTTCCATACGAAAGAACTGTAAGATGCAGCCAAGTATTCTCGATCGAATACTATTTCACCGAATGTAAACACCCACAGTGGAATCACGACACCTTTATTTGGAAAAATTGAACATTTTTTTGTCATTTTTGATCGTTTGTAATAAATTATTTTCTTATGCGCAAAAATAATAACGAGCATGCATCCAACAAATCTACGCACACTTTTGTGTTCATAACTTTTCATCATATGCATTTAAATATATTAACTTTGTAACTCACCACAAGCGAACAGCGTATTTAAAATGCTTTGCGTAAGCGAAACATCAATGTTAACACCCAGAATCGCATTCCAAATGATCAGTCCGCCACCCAGTAAACTTAATGCACAAACGAATATGCCGTATCTTAAATCATCACTGTCTGGGAATAAAAGCATACCGAGTAAGTAGCCTGCCTATGAAATGAAAATTCCACTTTGAGTAAATGTTTGCGATTCAAACGATGCACGAGTATGAACAAAAAAAAGGTACAGTAGGAAATGATCTTACCAACGGTGAAAATATGAAATTACATATAAAAGCTACACATGGTCTTAACGGTTTTCGAACGACAGTTTTTACTTTGCTTAGTTCCAGAACCACACCAAAGTTGATGTACATTACAAAATAAAACACCAAAACGCAAATATTGAAATATTTCATGAAAACTGTTCCAAGTATGCTTTTGTGCCGGATGTCAATACGAATTTGTTGTGTTGATCTTTGAACTTGTTTATTCTCCCGTACAACTTTCACCAATACATTGGCATGTCCAATGAAAATGGCATTAATCCGAAAAAATCCATTCCATTTATCTCCATCGATTTCATTCAGTGGAATTATTTGTGTCACTCGCAAAATATTGGAATCACTAACTACCCGAATTGTTGCATTTGATTCGATCAAATCGGCTTTATTCAAATTTGCTATGGTTAAACTGATATTTTTTAAATCGCCCATGTAGATCGAACACGTTGTATTCTCAAAATGTGCCTCCCATGTGAAATCATCTTGAGCATAGGACAAATGACACAAAATCGATGATAAAATAGAAAGAAAATAAATTGCCGATATTTTAGCCATTTCGAAATTTGAACAAGCCTTTTTCCAGAAACGAATATTGATAAAAGTAGATTACATGACGATCTAACTGAGATCATCTAAGTAAACAGAACTCTTCGTTGAAACCAACTCACAATTACTGACCACTAAAGTTCAAAGTATCCAAGTAACCACACACGTGCACCAGTCTAATACTTCTGTGTGTTGAGCAGATTGTTTGTGTGTCATGCTTTGTGCACACACAATCATGGCCGGTATCAAATGTGATGTTTCACCATGACTATTATTCAAGCGCAGAGTTGAGGGCCTATATAACGTGTTTATGATCGACTATACAATTTATGTGTGTTCATACTTTGGTTAGAATAAATACCGGAAAAAAGTTTTTGGCTTTGAATTTAATAAGCCGGATTCGATAAGGTGATAAGGTTTGTGAACACGCTTCACTGCTGGCAAAATTCGAGTTCAGTTTGTTGGCTGATTTCCAAAAATGGTATTTTTTCTATTCAATATTGGTTTCGAATCAGACTTATCAAACAAAAATTGACATCGTTTGAATTGTTGCCAATGACAAATAATGATAAACGTAGGATTAGTTCAAACCATGAATTTTGGCAGTGCTGTCCTTTCGTATACCTTATCATTCGTTATGGTTCATCGCAAAAGAATAAAAAATGAATATTTCTGACTTCATTATATTTTTTTATTGAAAATTCTTGCTTTGAATTTTTCTAGTGATTATTTGCATTATTTTGTATTTTTGAGATTATTTCCGAAATAATAAGGTTGATCGTTCAAAAGCGAGTGATCTCTATACTTTTTCTTGATTCGTTTTCGGAATGAACCTCAGGTGAACACTTGGTTTTCAGCCTAAAAATGATTTTAAATAGTAAAATCATAAATAAATTAGTAATGAGTCGAATGATGAATTGATGAAGACAAATGCGAGCGATAAAAATAGAATCAAAACCAACCATTCTTTGACTCTATTGAAAATTAGATGTGCAAACAACGGTATTGGTATCATAATTGCCACTAAGCTGAAGAGAAATTTCAACGATTCCGTTTGTGGAAAATACGTTGTGATAGACATTATCAAGTTGACGCTGAACATATTTTCGCCGAGAGCTTTATTTGCCACAGTCCATCGACTTTCATACTCTTCTTCAAACACCATTGCAACGATCCATCCGAAAATGTAGGCGAATATTGGTATTATAAATCCAACAAAATAGAGCTGGAATTGAACGAAACAAAAACAAATATTGTTTGAATAGTATTTTTCTTCCGTGGTTTCTTCGAATTGACTTGACCGAATGGATTTGACAACAAATTGACTGGATAGTATTGGCTTTAAGTCAATAACTTATTCGAATTATGTTTTTCAACTTACGTCCAATGTGAATACAAACAGCTCAAACGTAAACAAGTTCCAGTAATACACAATCAAGTAAACGTCATAGCCAAAAATGTAAACAAAAAAAAGCCAAGAAATGCTTTGCATAGCGAATCCCACCGATCGCGGATAAAAATGTTGAATGAGTGCACCGATGGTGAAAGATACGAGCAAAAATAAAATGGTCATTGCAAAACCACTATAAGAAGCGCCCAAATTTTTAGAACCAAACACGATTCCACCAAATACAAATACCCATAATGGGATCACTATTCCTAAAATCAATTAAATCAAAAACGATGATAAGAAATGTATTGTGATCTTTTTATATTATACACTGTACAATGTACAGGTGTACAGTGAGTTTAACTGACCCTGGGTTAGTAAAATATTTAAAGCGGTCATCGTTAAGGATTGACCAGCATGTCCTCCCAAAAGTGCATCCCAAACCAATAATCCGCTACCTAAACAGCTCAATCCACAAATAAACAAGCCGAATCGCAGCCTGTTACTGTCTGGAAACAGATATAAGCCAAGTACATAGCTCACCTTTTGACAATATTTAGTTTTAATTTATATTTTTCCGGTCATTTTAGTTGGAAATTATTCAAATGTTGAATGTTTTTTTTTTGTTTCCCATCATTCATAATTTTACTAACTCACCAGAGGTATAAATGTGTAATTACAAACAAAAGCGGCGCATGGTCTCAAAGGTTTCCGTATGATTGATTTCACTTTACTAAAATCCAAAACCACTCCAAAGTTAACTTGCATGATGAAGTAAAAAACCATAACGCACACATTGTAAATTTTCACAAAGACTCCGCCAACGACGTGCTTGAGTACGATTTTGATTCGCATTTGTTGTGGTGATCTTTCGATTGTGTTCTCTCGCATAATTTCCACAAATACACTAGCGGATCCGATGAAAATAGCGTCAACTTCAATTAGTCCAATCCATTCACCTCCTTCGATTTCATTTGTAAGTATAATTTTTGAAACATGTAGAATTTTGTGATCACTAATTATTCGGATTGTTGCATTTGATGCGATCAAATCGGTTAGATTCAAACGCATGATGACAACACTGATGTTTTTTGAATCACCCATGGACATTGAACATGTATCATTCTCAAATTTTGCCTCCCATTTAACTTCTGCATATGAGAAGGTGTTTGGAAATAAAAACCAAATGACTAGGAAATAAACTGTTGGGATTTGATGGAACGCCATTTAATTAACACATTTAAAAAACAACACAAAATGCTCTAAATTCAAATATGAAACACTTTGCACAACTAACGAAACATGATTGATAAAAAAAAATTGAAAAAACGAATAAAAATCAGTTTAAATAGTGTTTGACAAATTATCGCAAACAACTTTTGATATCATTCAAAACAAGATCGTTGCAAAGTATGAGTAATACAGTAGTGCACTAGTGTATACAGCGCAGTCGTAAGACAAATAACATACAGTATTTGCGCATGTGTTGCAGCATTCACTCATCCGAAACAAGCGGATAAGTATTGTTGACGTGGTCTGTCGTAATTCATAATGACCGTTGACAAACGATTGTTTTCGCTTGACCAAAGAACTGAGTTACAAGACGATATATTTGATTTTATGAAATATTTTAATTCTGATTTTTTGGCTTTCCGAAACAATAATTCATTTCGATTGGATTTAATACCGATTTCTAGGAATAAGATTCCCCTGTGATTCTATGTGACCACAAACAGTCAAAGCATCATGTGTGAATGACGCACGACAAAGTGAATTTGACAGCAGATGTCAATCTATTGTTGTCTTGTTTACAAAATTTAGCAAAATAAAAGTGAAAATACGGTTTGTAAGCAATTACGATTTATTTTAGGGTTAAAGCTAGAAATATTTATCAAAATGGAATAAAATATTATAATATTAACTGCAAGATAACCTCTGCAAAGATGAAAAGCGTTGATTTTTCAACCATTATCCTCATTTTTCACCATTTTTCTGACTTTTAAACAAATGTATCTGTCAAATTCGCTTGATTATAGCTTCCCAAAATTGGGAACAAACGTTGCCGTAGATAAATGCCTCTATCGGAATGGGGCACTCCAATCCAAAGAGAGAAAATAAATAATTTAAAAATATAAAATGCCATGAGTTTTGCCAAACCATAGTAAAGCTGTACTCTGTGAAATAATGAATAGTGCCATTAATTAACTTTGATTTTGCTGGGAATTACCGCAGCAATACAAACTTTTCCTTGAAGGTGTTCATTGTTGTAATCAGTGACATGATTTCGTTTGACATTTTTGTTCACAATTTTATAAATTTTGGATGAAATTTTTACTCAACCAATTTTAAAATCAACTAAAATACACTTTCTTCTCTGCAATTGCACAATCGATTGCTCAATCTCCATCAATTGGTGTAAATTGAATGAGAGTAGTCGCCAATTTTTGCTTATTCGAAACTAAATGACTGGTAACACGCCGATGGTGTCATACACACACATTGAGCACCAGATATGACGTAAACAGATAATGTGTTTTGTTTTTTCTCGAAAGCTAATCCATTGGATTGATAATAAGTGGATGATGATTAATATTCTTTTTATAATCCAACGCTTGCACTTTTTTCCAGTACGAAAGCCATACAATGGATTTATTTGTTGCAGCACTTATTGATAAAGAAATGATCGAAAGTGAATATTTGAATTGAAAATAAAATGTTTCGTGGTTCCGTTCATTGATATTGTATCGAGCACAGGTAAATTGACTAGATAACACGCTGATTTCATCGTTTGGGAATGAGTTCACTCACGATATGATCATTTTCCTCCTTTCGCAACGCCACTTGCTGAAATTGTTTGGAAGAAACAATTACAACATTACACTTGAATGTGCCCACGTTTGGAAATGACTCACCTGATCGTTTTGCAAAAAGAATGAATTAATCACCAATGATTTCATCGAATAAACTGCAATGCGGATTATTGAATTTTTGTTGAAAAAATGAATTTTTTTCGGAAGGGAGGAATATTTTACATTGATAAAATAAAAATAGAGATATAAAGCGTGCTCTAAACTAAAGTTGAAGTTCAGAAGCAAAAAAATACCTCCAGTTTGCGCGGTTGATTCAACTGCGATTGCCAAACAGTCTTCATACTCCTGTTTGAACGCTAAAGCCAAAACCCATCCTAATAAGTATGATGATGATGCCACAACGAATCCAATCAAAAGGAACTGCAATTCATAACTTCCTTTAAACATTTTAGTTCTATTTTTCTTATCTATTCTTATCACTCACCAGCCAAAACATGGGAAATGGAAATGAAAAAAAGATTATTGTATCCAGCACAATTGTGTACAAAATATTCGAAAAAACATATGTGGTTGCTGTCCACATCAAAATATTCCGTGAATATCTTGTGTACTGTCGCCGAAAAATGTACTGAAGCAGTATACCCACGGCAAGCGGAACGATTGTGTAACTTATGGTTCGATTGAAACTGAGAAAAGGCGTTATAATCTCGATATCAACGTTATCGCTGATCTGCTTAACTAGCGTCGACAGCCAAAAAGTGGTCATTCCTGGGTTTCACAATAATATTTCAATTGGTTCCGGAAGCGAAAATGTTTAAAGAAAAAGAATCATAAGAAAAAAAAATGATTCTCCTTAAAATTGGAATTATTCAAACAAACAAAAGTTGTATCCAACTCACCATACGATAACACGGTGTTAACAACGCATATTGTGACGGATAAGTCAATGTTTCCGTTTAAAATAATTGTCCACGCGGTGGAGAAAGCGCCAGTGGGTTTGAGTGCAGTCAAAAACAGCCCCATTCGCAATGGTATTTTATCTTTGAATAATAATAAACCAAGGCTATAGCAAGCCTTCACTTGAAAGAAAATTATTGTTAATTATGATGTTAAATGATTGAATGTAAAAAGAGTCGATGACATTTGAACTCACTAAAGGCACATAGATCCAGCGACAGAATGCGGCAATGACCGGGCCGACAGGAAATCGTAATATCGTTTGAATTTTCTTCCAATCACATGAAATGCCGAAAAACATCAGTAGCATCACATGGAAGACTTTATTATAATATTCAAACATTGATGTTATATTTTCATGTAATTTGTGATTGTTGATAAATTCCAAGTTGAGATCGATTCTCCATGATCGCGGAACATTCACATGTTTTGATAATTCACCCAATTTTGCTTCAATTTCAGGTGCCACAACAAATTCATTCACTTTCAAACCACCAACTTCATCTATCGCACTGATCGTATTTGATTTGCTTATCAACAACAAAACACCCAAACAATAGAATATTATGTTCTTCAAAATTCTCGAAGAAACCATTTTGGACTGAAAACCTCTGTTCATTTCGCTATGAATGACTTCAATTTTCGGTTTCAATAGTTCGTCACTCAACACAGAAATGAGTTGGTTCAACATTGACTACGCATTTATATTGCGTGCCCAGAAAAAGCACTGTAGTGCTAGAGCAGGTGGAATAAACTTTCAGCAGATAAGGTTTACGCGTTATCAAACGTTTGGCGGCTCTGGCAATGTGAACGTTATCGCAAGAATGATTTATCAGCCAAAATCGATAATTGAAATGAAAATATGCTCTGTTCCTGATAAATAAATACTGTCGAATATTTGTCTTTATTTTGATAATTTGATTATTCTCGGTGTTTATTTTATATACGAAATAATATCATGTTATTGTTTGAATAAAATTGTCATTCTTTGAAATTTAGCAATTGATGTATGAAGTTAAAATGTCGTCCGAAGCAAAGATGCAGCCCCAAAATCAAAATTTTCTGAAGAGCAAAAAAAAGTCTTTACTTTTCATTCCGCCAGCAATTTTGCCGCTCTCAGCATTTTATGTATACTCTCGTGACTAAAAACACAAAATGAAAGATATTAATTCCAAGAAACATTTTTGACACCAAATTTTACATCATTCTCAAATTGAATAACTATTCGCTAGTTTTGTATTTGCAAACGAGTGAATCATATTCAGCAAGAGAAATAATATAGTAATATGAAACGGCATCACCTAAGCTACATGTTGTTGATTCAGTCGCAATCGCTATCCGATCTTCATATTCTTCTCGGAGTAATAAAGCCATAAACCAGCCCACTAAATATCCGGCGAATGAGACAAATAGCCCAACCAAAATCAACTGAAAATTGGGATTAGATTTTTTTTCAATTTCTTATTTACGTCAAAACATCATTTTATCGGCCACCTGAGGTGTTCAGATGTTCAAGAGATCGAAAACTGTACACATCCAGTGATATTGACAACGCAGAATGGCCATTAATATAGATCCCTGACAAAAGCGTAAGCAAGCGTGCCGAATATTTCTTGTTTGTTGACCGCATGAGTTGTTGACAGAAAAAACCAACACAAGATGCAATTACACAAAATAGATTCCAAAATATCAAACCAAAATAATCAATGGCAGTGTCACTATTCGATATCCGTTTGCCACGAATTAACAGCCACAGAGGTTGCAATCCTGAAATAGTTTTTAAAAACAATTTCATCTAATCTTGAGTTAGTTGCCCATAACGATAATTCTAGGGGCTCGGAACTTCAGAGTATGGAATTATATATCGCGTATAAGTTGCATATATTGCGGTTATTTTACATATAACGTCATATATTTTTACTTTTTGCGTATAAATGCGTATAACTGTGGATATCGCGGATATTTCACGTATATTAATAAGAAAATGACGTTTCACATGCTTCGATATCCAAAATAACCGTAATATATACACTTTATATGCACTATATGCATTTTATATGAAATATACGCAATATCCGCAAAATATTCGCGATATTCACATTTATTTATTGTTTTAGAAATTTTGTGGATATTGCGTATATTTCATATAAAATGCATATATTGCATATAAAGTGCGTATAAAATATGATTTTATATAGATCCGAGCCCCTAGCGATAATTTTTATACGAAAAACAAACATTTTTTTGGAATTTGCTTCCTTATACCAATCTCGCCAAACTAAATCTACGAATCGATTATTTTGGGTGTCAATTTAATTTTAGCTCTGAAAAATACTCACCACGGGCTACTATAGAATTCACTAAGCTTAATATAACCAATAGGTGAATATTTCCACCCAAAACTACGGTCCAAGTGTTTGCAATGACACCAGTTAACATTAATGATTCATGAATTAAACTAAATTCATGAATTGAACTAAATTGAAGGTATTTAATACCACATAGCTTTATTTTGTAAAAAAAATTGAATTAGTAATGAGTTTTTGAAATTTATCAAAAACAAAAATAAATGCTTACAAGTGGTGCAAGTGTCCAACTACAGAATAAAGTGATCGCAATTCCTTTTAGATGCAAAGAAGATTTCAACTTATCAAAGTCCAAAGCAAGGCCCATGAACAAGAGCACAATTAATTGAAATACTCTGTTGAATGTGTTATAAGAGAAAACAATATTTTAGCTTACAACTATATGAACATGGGATTTACTCTGAAAATCAAGAATTTCTTCCGAGATTCCATTCTAGACAAATAAGCAAAACAATCCGATATGGATTACCATTTTTTTTAAGTTCACAGAAATCACCAAGAATTTCTATAAAGTTCATAACAGTTTATTCAAAGTGTCTCTCAGCTGTGCAAAAAGAAACAATTTCAAAACAAAGTTCAACGAAATGAGCACAAGTACATATTCTTTCGTATAATTTTATATTTCATCTAAAAACAATAGAAATCTAAGCTCTTATCTTTTAAACGCAGACTGATAAAAACATTTGTGAATATCAATTGTTTAATTCACTCAGGGTCTTTTCAGTCGATTGCTGCAAGAATTCAATGAAAAAAAGATTAGATTCTGATTTTAAAATGTCATCATGAATTAGAACTTACCTGATTTTATTCCAAGCGTATTGTGATATCATCGGTAGTGACGTCAATACAAGAACTGTGAAATAAACAATCAATATCATCCAAAAAAGGGAACAAAGAAAAATATTTGAATCATGTTATACCTGTGCTTTGAATAACAGATTCATTTGCGATGGCCAAGCAATCTTCATATTCTTGTTTATATAAAAAGCCTAAAAACCATCCCGTCAAATATCCAAGTGATGTGAGAATAAATGCAATCAAAAAGAGCTGAAGGCAAGAAATGATTAACAATTTCATTGATTCGTCGCACAACTAAAGTTGCACTTAGTTAATTGAATTTTGTGGTTTCATTCTCACCATTGCGTTAGTCGCATAGTCTCCAACTAATCCTAGAAAATAAATCACTAAAGTAAACAAAATATTGAAGGCGATATAAATCAGTGAGAGCCACCACAGAAGCGGCCCCGTCAGTTTTTTGTGTCGTGGATAATAGTTTTGAATCAAATATCCAATCGTTAGAGGAAGGATGACGCAGCCTATATTCCAAATGAATTGAAAGTAGTCAATTTCAAAACGTGCCGCAACTTCGTCGCTTTTCATGATTCCTTTGCCCAGTGTCAGCACCCAAAATGGTTGCATCGCTGTAATATTTTGAAAGAAGTCATTTAAATCTTAAAACTTGTTCACGTCATTTTGTCTTTTTGAATGAATTCACTATCTCTCTATTCCTCTCTTTCTCACTCTGTCTCTCTCTCTCCCTTTCTTAAACACTGTATCCTGTTAATTAACTCACCACACGCCAATATAGTGTTTACAACGGTAATTGTAATCGACAAATCAACATTTCCTTCAGCGATGAGTGTCCATGCATTTGGTAGCACGCCCATTAAATCAATTGACACTCCGAATAAGTTCATCCGTTCATCCACATCGTTTGTGAAGAGTAACAACCCAATCACGTAACATGACTTTAAACAACAAAAAAATTCAAATCGATGACGTAAATCTGTGAAAATTCACCATTTTCATTGAATGAGATTGAATTGTTTTCTAATTTCACTCACCAATGGTGCAAATATCCAGCAACAAAAAGATGCGATAACCGGACTGACTGGGTATCTTACAACCGCTTTAACTTTTGTCAATTTCAGTTCAATACCGAACAATATAAACAGAACTATTTGAAAAGCTCTATTGTAATAATGATACATGACATGAATATTGTAACCAGAATCACAACGGAATATTTGATTACAATTGGCGTCACTTGCATTCTGCTTGGGCTTCAAATCACTTGGCACAAATACATTTTCATCACTTTTTAAAAACATTTCTCCTACGTAAGTTTCATTCTGTTCAATTTCTCTAGTATCATTCAAATGATCTTCTCCAAATATTTGCAAAACATTTGCTTCACTCACTGTAATCGCATTCGATTTCGTTATCAGCAGAAAAATTCCGAGAAAATGCAGTAACACCAACTTTGTCACCATTTTTTTTTTGATGGAATTCTATGAGGTATGAACGGTTTGAAGGTCTACAGCTAAATGAAAACAATCGATACGGCACAGCTTTGAAAAATCGATAAATTCGATTGATTGAAAACGAATCTTATCAGCGCATTTTATCAGTATCAAGTGTATATATATATATAATAATAACGATAAATACGTCAAGCCAAACAGCTATCACATCTGAATTACGATTGGCGAATTCAAAGTATATGGTTTTGTTTATGAAATTATTTTGTCTAGCAGAAACAAGGAAGTGTGATAAGATTGCATGAAGAATGGAATCGAATCCAAATTATCGGTTTGTCAAAAGTTCGATCTTTTGATTGAGAAATTCCCACTTAGAATACACCATTTCTATCGCATTGATGTAGCAACACTTGTACATTTTACTTTTATTGATAAATTTTAAACTCATAAATAAATGAACTTATTCCAATACTATTTCAAATCGCTTTTTGTGATTGATACTGTGCCTCTGGTTTGTCTAAAATGGAACAAAGTCAATAAATTAACGGAAAGTTTATTAAAAAATCTTAGAAAATAATCAAAGTTGAACTAACCCAATTTTGTGCAGGATTACATGAGCTAGCAGTGGCAGTGGTGTAGCCATAATTACAACAGCGGAGAGAAACATTGCCTCTTCCCGTTCGGCATAAAATAAGTTTGGATACATTATTGACATAGAAATTGTTGCATTTTTGTTGATTGTTTGCGCTGCAATTGCTAATTTCTCTTTGTACCTTTGTTTAAGCTTCAATGCGGCTAGACATCCAATCATGTAATGGACACACGTCAAAAGTGTTCCGGCCACAATGTACTGAAATATAAAGCTTGCATTTAGCCTTTAATTTGACAAATGCCTTGAGATATGTGTTACCGTCCATGAGAATTGTGAAGGAATATTATGTGGTATAAACATGTCAACATTTTCCAAAAAAGCATTTGCGAGAACGCAACAAATATAAATCGGTGAAATCAATCGCAGAATTATCACTACAAGCCTCGAAAAACGTGGAAAGCAACATCGAATCGGAAGACTGATTATGGAACCAACAAATATCGGACAGACCAAATAAAATATATGGCCAATAAAATAGGTGTAATCAATCTCTAGAGGCTTTTGAATTACAGACAGCGCTTGGCCCAGTGTAAGCGTCCAAAATGGTATCATAACTAAAACGAAAGAGGATTAATTAATTTTAGTAAATAAAACGAATTACATACGTAATCCAAACTTTTCCGCTCCGCAGCAATTTAGTTTACCTCCCGCTTAATGTTTAACCAAAATTTCAATGGACCCTTTTTTCATAGCACTTTTGACCTTAAAAAATAACTATTTCGACCATTTTCCATACAAAAGTGTCATTTCCGAACAGAATTTCAAAAATTTCAAGAAATATCGATTTTGGACCGATTTTATGGACAAGTAAATGATCAGTTGTTAGAAAACTCAGTTTGCCTTGACCGAAACCCAAAAAAATGGCTTTCTGAGTGATTTTTCATACAAAAGTGTAATTTTCGGGGAAAATTTCAAAAAAGTGGGTGAAGGGAGGCTTGGGGAGCATTGGGAGTAGTCTCAATCGAAATATCACGTCAAAATACCCTAAAAAACCACCCCTTTATGGGTGCTAAAGCCACTTCTAAGCGCTAAAATCGGCATTTCCATGTTTTCTCAGTACTCTCCATAGAAACTTAAATCCAGCAATAAGTCGGGTAATACACCATTCAAATTGTTTGATGTAGTGGACTTTTTTTCTTATTTTCATCCATATTTTCACATGAAACCATCAAATCCACCGATAAAACACATTTTTCAAAAAGCGAGTTTCTATAGTCGAAGCTATACACTTCATATAGGCCAACACTGTCTAGCTCATATGCTATAGCAATGTTTGACGTTTAGAACTGCTGTGGAAACTTTGTTGGGAGCGCCACCAACCACAAATCTCTGTAACTATACGTACGTGTGAAAGTAAAGTCTTTGTGTGTACGTTCGTGTGAATGCAAAGAGTCTATGTGTGCGTTGTACACAGAGGTGTTGATTCGTTCGAACGTCGCATCCAATGTCGCATCATGTTAGGTGGCGCTATTGATATACTTTGCTTCAATCGTCAACAGAATACATCAAGTATTTCTCCGTTTTGATATAGGCATATTTTCGGAAGGTGGATTTTGCAAGGGAAGGTTAGTTTTTTTTCTAAATATATGAATAGATCACATAATTTCAAGCAAAACTAATAGCTGCGCGCGTATTTTTAATGTAAATATGAGAAATTTATCGATTTAAATCGATTTTTTTGGATTTTTGAGGAATTTTTTTTTTCGTAAATTCTCATCAAAACATCATTTTGGGGATTTTTGACGTCGCTGAATGCAATTCTGACATTGTTTTCGTGAAATTCCGTTTGAATATTTGACATTTTATATAATTATTTTCTATCTTTCTTTTCAGACAAAACGGCACCATAATCAAACGAAAAAATGGTTACAACACGCCGTGGAAAAACCACTGAAACCAAAAGAGGTACCAGACGCGGTGGAAATAGATCCAGACGTGGGCGTGGAGCTCGCACTCGCAATGCTAATGAACCAGCCAGAGCCGCACCAGATGAATTACCACGAATTCAACGACAAAGAGGCCGTGGAATACAACGGAATAGTACGAGAGGTTTTGGGAGAACGGGCAATACAATTAGATACAACAGCGAAGAACAGTTGGCATTAGTCCTAATTGTACTTCGACGAATCCGTGCTGAATTGGATGCAATTGGTTCAAATGCCACCATACCACTGTATCAACGATATCCAACCGCTCTTTTTCCAATGAATCCCGCAGAAAGAATTTGCAGATTTCTACGGACGGCATATGATGGTCGTAACACCACAGCCATAAAAAACATGGTTGAACATTTCAAAAGAGTGGATAAAGCTTTCGCCGATCAACTCGATAAAATTTTGCAACCATCTGCCTTAATGCTTCAGAAGAGAGCAAAACGTGTTCAATGTTTGGAAAATCGTGAAGCAGCATTGGATCAAGAGACACAAGAACCACAAGATCCACAAGATGCACCAGAACCACAAGATCCACATTTTAATTTCGTGATGGACGACGACGACGAAAATGATTATTTTGACGATGGTCCAAATCAACAAAATAATGAATTGGCCGAAACTCCCCAACCGACCGTTGCGTTGCAACCATCAAGCTCAAAAAATCTCGAAGATTTCGAAGCCTTCAAGGTCAAATCATTGACATTGAAGGAGTGGAGAGATCTGTCCAATCCAAAGAGGCTCTTGAACAGTTGTTCGGACAAACAATTGAAGTTTCTCAAAGAACAATATATGTGGTTGCTGAAGCGGTACGCGAATAATTTATCACAAAACGGTCAAAACCTTCGTTCATTTCTGAACGACATTGTTGCAGAACAAGATCAGCGATTGCGTAATATTTGCGAATATTATGGGACGCTTCCAGAACTAGGAGAAACTCTGGACAAAAAATTCGACGACGAGATGCAGAAAATTATTGAAGCGGCAAATTCAGCGAAAGAAAAAGGGCCGAAGCGATATATCCCAGAATTGCCAGCTAATTTGCCAAAAATTTTATCACCCGACTGTGAATGTGCAACGTGCCTACCTAACAGAAAAAAGCGAATTCCGTTCTGGAAACAACTATCAATAAAACGAATTACATACGTAATCCAAACTTTTCCGCTCCGCAGCAATTTAGTTTACCTCCCGCTTAATTTTTAACCAACATTTCAATGGACCCTTTTTTCATAGCATTTTTGACCTTAAAATATAACTATTTTGATCATTTTCCATACAAAAGTGTCATTTTCGAACAAAATTTCAAAAATTTCAAGAAATGTTGATTTCGGACCAAATTTATGAGCAAGTAGGTGTTCGGTTGTTTGAAGGCTCCCATTATTTTTGCAAAAAAATATCAGTTTGCTTTGACCAAAACCCTAAAAAATGACTTTCTGAGTGATTTTTTATACAAAAGTCTATTTTTCGAGGAAAATTTCAAGAAATGTCGATTTTGGACCAAATTTATGGGCAAGTAGGTGTTCGGTTGTTAACAGACTCCCATTATTTTTGCAAAAAAATGGCAGTTTGCCTTGATCAAAACCCCGAAAAATGCTTTTTTCGGGTACTTCCCGTACAAAAGTGTCATTTTTCAAGGTTTTTCAGGTCCTCAGTCGGAGGCTTATGATACGAAATTGGTAGGTCAGAATAGGCTCAAAATCAATCCGAAGCTTTGTCTTGACATGCCAAAACTTTTAGCTTTTACAGATCTCAATTATCTTGTCAACTTTTTGAGATATCCGGCGAACAAAAAGCTCGGACGCGGACGCGGACGCGAACGACGCCATACGCACATCGCTATTTTGCACATATTGACATATTTCATAGTAAACAACATGTTTTTGGGGGTAGATAGGTCTTGATCGATAGGATTTGATCCCATCTACATTGCCTAGTGTACAGATATGTGCTTTTTCAAGTTTGGCGTGACGTTATAGTGGTCCGAAAGAGGAGATGTCATGAAATTTTGGCTAGTAAAACCAATACTTTACCTAACAAACAAAGTTTGCGGAAAAGTAAAATGATCATTATTAAGAGTCGCGACTCCATGTGCTGAATCATGAGTTTAAAGAATTAGCGAAATGTTCATAGCGAAACAAACGATTTCTTGTGAATAATTTTTGATGAACAAAATTACACTCTAACATCAAAAGGCACTAATGAACAATGAGTAATTTATTTGACATATATTGCAACTCACCACAAGCCAACCCCGTATTCACAACACTCATTACAATTGTCAATTCCAGATTGCCACCAAGAAGCACTGTCCAGAGATCTGATAAGCCACCGATCATACACACTCCGATCATGAATACAATAAAATGTAGTGCCGGAGATTCCGGAAATCTGACCAAAGCGATTAAATAGCTGGACTATGGATGGTAAAATTATTTTGCAAAAATCGATTAGAATCATACATTGTAATATTCGGTGAGTGCCACTAAAAAAATATACACA